CATGCATAACTGTTTGCAAGACTGAGGCTTCAATTAAAAACCATAACCATGATCAGCTGAAGATGCCTACAGTTCTACACGATCACTGGCTGCAATAAATGTTCAATCAAACCATGTAGAAAAAAAATAGGAAGGAGGCATTTATACTGAATATTGATGAGTTACCTACATACCTTAATAATCCACACCTACATGGTCATCCTACTAGCTCCTGTTTATATACAGAACTACGATCCCAGGTCCCAATCTGCGATACAAAGCCTGAATTTTGAACTTTGTTTAATCTTTCTGTGCTAATATTGTATTTACTACCATGTTTGTAGAAATGCTCTTTTATTATCTACGTGGGTCTACGCTCCAAGCAAGTTAATCATTCTTGCAGAGCCAGGGTAAACAATATAATTTATTATTCTAAAGATTATTTTATCAGAATAAAAAGTGTGATCTCTTTGCCAACCCTGTCTTTGTGTTTCAACTGGTATCCATCGTGTCTGATATGTCTGAAATATGATACAGTCCCTTGTCCACACACTGTTGTTGACTCGTAAGGAGTTTTCCTTTGTAAGAACTATAGGATGCAGCAGTTCGGATTGACCACACAGTGAAATAGCAACTGGATCTATTAACTTTGGAGAGAGTTGTAGGTGTACAAATAATGTAGTATCACACTTTTCTGTCTATAAAGTATTCTTTACAGAACTTTGCTACTACATACAATTAATTTAGCATTTCAGGGCATGATTTTCCCAGTGATGTAAATAAGAATTGCTCTACTAACATCAACTGACCAAACACCAGCCAAGCATTTGGCCTAACATCTTTTGAGTTACTCATATCCGGCCATTTCCCTCCACTCCCTAGAAAGTATTCCAATCTAAAACATAAATAATAAAATGGTTTGGATATTTTCCAAATAGAGAAAAGATTAGCTTCCGATTGGATGAACTGACAGTTTAAAATTGACACTTTTGTTAAAATACCCTGACATTGCAAAGTGGTTCCCTAACAACAGGTTTAGAAATCAGTCGTCCTCATAAAGCCAACGGACAGGGGAAAAAAAAACATACAAAACTGAGGCCAAATCTGATGTGGATGAAAGATGAATTTCACAACTGATTTCCCTGCCCATGCTTTGTAATTTACAAGTTCAAAAACTCACTAGCGGCATTTCACAGATTTTCAGCCTAGATGGTCATCCCCGAGTCTGACCTACATACCACACACACCACACATTAATTCAGTAACCTGCAACACACTCACAAACCTGTGCAGACAGATGCCTTAGCTTGATTTAGAAACGTGAGCAAACAGAGAATTCAATATGTCTCTAGGTTGACTTTTCCAAAGGTTAGTTCCCCTCACCGGGGTAAAATGTGATTTATTTCCAACTTGATAATTTTTTTCCTTCCAGACTGCTGCCATTGGATCTTGATGCTCCATACTAGGAGGCTCTCTAGCAGATTTGTAGCTTAACTGTGGCAGTTGGGACACAGAGAAAACTACAGAAATCTCTCTGTACTTGGGACATAGGGAAAACTACAGAAATGTCTCAGTCCTGTCTTGTGTGGATCAGTTCAACACATGGAGCCAAGCTTGGCAGCTTCCAGCGAGGCAGCCAACCTCAGAAACACCGGGGTGAAAAGGGTCTGACTGGCAGGAGTTTTGAGCCCCCTCGCCAATCCTGAGGGGCGCCAGGCTGGTGGTAAAGAAGACCGTAGCAAAGCGCAGGTCTAATTCTAGGCCCTGGTACTAGAAAAGTCTGTCCCGGTCTCTTTGGGAGACACAGAAGTCTCCAGGCTTGGATGTCAAGGCCTCACCTCATTTGATTCATAGATTCATAGACATTAGGGCTGGAAGGGACCTCCCAAGATCATCGGGTCCACCCCCCTGCCCTAGGGTCAGGAAGTCAGCTAGGGTCAAAGGATCCCAGCAAGATAAAACTTCCAAATGTTCCTTAAAAGTGCCCAGAGTAGGTGCTTGCACCACCTCCGGGGGGAGTCTATTCCAGGCCTTGGGGGCTCAGATAGTAAAGAAGATTTCCTTATGTCCAGCCTAAAACAGTCTTGTAGGCGTTTATGACCATTTGGCCTTGTCATCCCCTGGGGTGCTCTGGTGAACAGGCGTTCCCCCAGATCCTGGTGGATGGGGCCGTATGTACTTATAGGCTGCCACCAAGTCACCCCTGAGCCTGCTCTTCTCCAGGCTGAAGAGCCCCCTTGCTGATTCCTGGCATTGGATTAGGCAGGCAGTGCTTTTTGGTTAGATGGGATCTCTTTTGATTAGACCACCGGATGCATTGTTCTTTGCAAGGGTGGCCACAAACACCCTCCAGCAGGCAACAGGAGACTCTGCTGATGTGATGAGGTCTCTGAGGTAGAAACACTGGCTTGGATCTATTCATGGTATTGGATTCTGAAGCTGATTCTTTAGTCGATGGCTATGAATGTTGTTGGGCGATGAAGGTTGCTGAAGGAGCAGGAGGAGGAGAAAGAAAGGAGAGCCCCGGCCTGGGCTCTAGTTAGCATGCCCTCCCTCCTCGCTGTCCAGCCTCACCCAGCACGGGGCTCGGGCCGGGCTGCA